ACACACACACACACACACACACACACACACACACACACACACACGCCCTGCCCAGGTTCCATCAGAATCCAGCTAGGGCATCAGCTACTTTAGGACACAGATGACAATTCCGTCCTCAAATCTGTCCCCCATCATGACCAGTCACTGCCTACTGCCTTGCAGGACAGGGCATTTCATCTACAAATTCCGAACCCTATGCCCGTGGCTGTGGCATATACCCACAGATACCCTATCATCTGTCCCCTAGAGGGACAGCCAGCCATGTGGTGCAGTGGTGCGAGCATGTACGTAAGTGCACATCGCCCCATGGGTGACATCCACAAGGAGGGGCCAGGATGTGGTTGCGGGATGCACTTGGGGTCAAACCTGACTCTGTTGGCCTCAGGACCCCAGTCTCACCCAGAACACAGTTCAGCACACAACCCCACGAGGATGTGAGAGGGAGGCTGGGGTTCCTGCAGGGGCCGGAGTAGAGCTGGCCAACACCTTCTTTGCCCAGGAAAATGCTAAGCCTGGGGTACCCAGCCAGGCTGCTCAGCCACAACAAGCACCTGCTTCCCTGGCTGTTGCTACTTCGGCCCCTGGTCAGTTTCCCACATCCAAGACTCACCGAGAAAAGAACAGGAGGGAAGTTAAAGGGGCTCTGGTGGACTCACCCACCTCCACAGACCCTGTTGTAGGCCCTGCTGACCCTGACAGCCCCTTCATCCTTGTGGAAGTGACCAAGACAGCCACAACTCTGCCTCCCCGCCCTAAGCTAAGGGGATATTAACCTTTCCCTCCTTGGGCCAGGAACCTTGAGTGGTTCCAAATTCTCACCCGAATTAACTGTGCCTGCTGCCTTCCTCTCTCTGCCACTTTCTCTTTCTTCGTTTTTTTTTTTTTTTTTTTTTTTTTTGCTGTTTGTTTTATTGGTTCGATGTTTGGGGAAGTTTGGGGTTTGAGTTTGGATTGGTTTTAGTTTGTTTGAGAAACTACCTCACTATACTGACTGGCCTTGGATTATAACCCTCCTGCCTCAGTGTCTGTAGCAGTGGATCACAAGTCTGCCACCAACGTCCCACAGTATATTTGCCCTTCAAGGACACCAGAGGTCCAGGTGTGACCTCCACGGAACTGGCTGCAGGGCCCTCCCACGTTCCAACCCACACCTTCCCAGACTCCTTACTGTCCCAGCTGGACTGTGCTCTGCCGCGCCGGCTGCCCGCATCCAGCCCGCAGCGCCCTACCTGAAGCAGCAGCCGCCCCCTCTGGGCTCGCACCGCACCCCCGGGCTCACACAGCTCGGGCCGCGCCGAGCCCGGCGGAGTCCCGGGGGTCTGCGGACCGCAGTGGGGCGCAGGGTCGAGCGCCTCGCAGCACACCAGGCTCACGGTGCAGCCCATCCGGCCCGGCGCCCGGCGGGCCCGGGGCGGGGACGCCGACTACCCGCGAGCCGGCCCGCCCCCGGCCGGCCCCAGCGACCTCAAGGCCCCGGGCGTCTGCGACACGGGGACGGAGGGCGACGCCCCCGGCCCGCCCCGTCGGAGTCCGCGTCCGCCTCCGCCGCGGCTCCGCCAGGCGGCGGGAGTGCGGGGCCCTGCGAGGGGCGGCGACACGGACTCTGGAGGCAGACGGAGGGGAGGGGACCCGAGGGCGCGGGAACGCAGGAGGGGCGGCGGCGGAGTCCCGAGGACAGGCTGAGCGGGGAGGGAAAGCGAGAGAGACAGCGACGGCGTGACTAGTTTGTGAGCGACTGAGAGGCTTAAAACCAGAGAAAGGAACTGACGGGACAGAGATGGTGGCGGGGAGGACGAGTGGGGAGGTGTTGGCGGGGACGGGGCGAGGGTCGAGCTCTGCCACGGTGAGAAGGGCGGGACGTGGAGCAGAAGGGCTTGGGGGTCGCTCTGCGCCCTGCTTACAGGTAGTTGCTCGAGCTTGTAAAAGTAGCTCTAGAAGCCGCAAACCTCGGCTCCCAGTCAGTAGGACCAGGTCCCCAGGCCAGCCTAGCCCAGAAAAAGGATGACCCTGGCATCTGGAAGCTGAGCGCTGTCACCGAGAGGCCACCCGACCCTAGCAGCCCACCTGGAGCTTCTTCGGGTGTTTCACTTTCGTCCCCGGAAAGTGGGTTGGGCTGGAAGGAAGGCACCTCAGCAATGACCGGGTTCTTGAAGCTGGCTGGGGTAGAGGATGCTTGGTGGTCGACTCTCCTCTCTCCCCACCTGTGCAGTTTCCAGTCCAGCGACGGAAGAGACAGCCCGAGACAAACGAGCCCACTTGGGCTTCAGTCAGCCTCGTTCCGCCATCTGCTGGCAACAAGTCAGAAAGACAGGCGCAGGTGCCCGAGAAAGGGGGTCCTTACAGGTGTAGTGTTTGGCCACCAGCTGGCCCTATGCCAGATCAGTTTGAGGGAGCCACCCATTCCGCCTCGATACCCCGGATCTTTCTCTACTACTTCTCCCTGGCCAGGGATTGGTCCAGCCCCCTCCAGGCTGTGCGTGAGTCACTCCACAGGCAAGAGAACTGGGAAGGGGTATGCAGAGCCCACAGTCACAGGGGACATACGCAGGCTGCAGAACCTCTCTGCCCGCACCCCAACCAGGCAGGCTTTTCCCAGGTGAGCACGGGGAGTCCCTGGGCTTGGGGATAGGGTGGAGGAATCCTGGGGAAAGGTCTGTAGAGTACTTCTGTCTAATCCTTGGTCTACAGGTGAGGAAACGGGGGCCTAAGAAAGTGTGAACTGTTGGAAGACACACAGTGAGTGAGTAACAAGTCCAGGATGGGACATTTTTCTTATGACTCCCAAGCCCCGCAGTCTATACAGTACTCTCCTATCCTCTCTCTCTTTTTTTTTCTTTCTCCTTTCCTCTCCTGTGATCCACTGCCATCGGGCTGTTACCCCACCCACAAACTCCACAGCTGCAGCCCGGGAGGCTGGACACCTGGGTTTTCCTCCTGGGCCCGGATCATCATCCTTCCAAGGCAACAGTGTCCCTCTCTGAGTCCCAGGACTATCTGGAGACAGAAGTAGAGTCCTATGGGAGACGGTCCTACCAGGCACCCTCCTCTCCACACCCAGTGCTGGGTTTACTCCCAACTCGGCACCCTCCACCTACTTCTGCCTTGCCTTTCCCCAGGGAATACAGATTTTCCACTCAGCTGGGGCCCTGGAAAGAATGAATGTGGGTCTCAAGACGATGACACCCTGCTGAGGTTCAGGGGCTGTCAAAGGGGAAAGGAGGCAAGAGTTTCCCAGCAGGGTGTCCCCATGGCGCAGGCATTCTGTTCGTGTTCACGTTCAGTAAGCAAATCGGAGTTCAGCCTATAGCTTTGTGATGCTGGATTAAGGTTTGTCCTCTCTGTGCCCACTCACCTTGTGTAATACTACATTCTGGAAGCTACCAAGGGGATCGAATGAAGCAAAGATGTCAGCAGTGGTTACGCTGGCCGACACCAGGGATGACCCAATAAGTGGGGGCCACATTCATATCTTTATAAATTGGCCCCCAAGAAATAACTGGCAGCAGAGCGATGGTGAAACACACCTTTTTCTTTTCTTTCTTTTTTCCTTTTCTTTCTTTCTTTCTTTCTTTCTTTCTTTCTTTCTTTCTTTCTTTCTT